GTTATTAGAAACTCAATAAACTTCAAAATAGATAGAATTAGAAAGTTATTATATAAAGAATTTAAAAGCATGGGCTTAAAAATTACGGTTAGTAGTAAATTAAATAAAATGGACTTCCTAGATATAACATTAGATCTAAATAAAAATACATACACACCTTATAAAAAACCCAACATCAATATATATTCACCCTAAATCAAATCACCCCCATCTATAATTAAACATATACCGTTATCTATCAGTAAAGGAATTAGTACAAATTCAGCAAATGACAAGATTTTCGATGAGCATATGAATTCCTATAATAAGACTCTAAAAGAGAGTCGCTACAAAAACCCAAAACTAACTTATATAAAAAATGAAAATGGAAAGCATAGAAAAAACAGATGTAGAAAAATTATTTGGTATTCTCACCCATACAACCAAATGGTAAAGAACAAATTAGGTCATAAATTCCTCGCATTAATAGTCAAGCATTTTCCTAGTGAAAGTAAAGTAAGTATTATTTTCAATAAAAACACACTAAAATTGAGTTATAGCTGTACAGAAAACTTAGAAAATATCATTAAGTACCATATTGCTAATATCTTAAATAAACACTTATACCAAAACCAAAAAAATTTAGACAATGGAAAAATAAAGATAAAAACTGATGGAAATAAACAAAAACTATGTAATTGCAGAAACCGTCATAATTGCCCTCTACAAAATAAATGTTGCACTGAATCATTAGTATACCAATGCAATATCTCTTCGATTGAAAGTCCTGAAAACATAAAATATATATAGGTTGCACTAGCCATGAATTCAAAAAAAGATTCAACCAACATCAAACTTCATTTAGAATAAATAAATATAAAAATCAGACATCTCTCTCAAAATACTTCTGGCATCTAAAAGAATCAAATAAAACACCTACAGTAAATGGAAGTTAATAAGAAAAGCTAGAATATGTAGGTCATTAAACGAACCATGTCCTTTGTGCATACACGAGAAACTATATATTACTAAGTTTATAAAAAATAAAAATTTACTGAATCAGAGAAATGAAATAGCTATTATATGCCGTCAATGTCAAAAATTTTCCTTAAATAATATTTAAAATTTAAAAAAAAAATAAAGGGGCAATCAGGTAGTATACATACTTATATTTAACATGAAAAATAATTATATTACATTTACTTGATTTTTCTTTATAAAAAAAATGTCTATTGGAATAACAGTGAAAATATTTTAAAGTTGTATTTAAAATTGTAGTTAAAACGAATTCTAACCTAAGCATCTTTTAAAAATTGCAGTTAAATAAAATGTGTGCTAACCTAAACACCTCTAACAAAAAGTACTACCGGCACTTAAATGAATCAAATAAAACACCTACTGAAAAATGAAATTATAACGAAAAGCTAGATGATGTAGGCCTGTGAACGACCCATATCCTTTGTACATACATCTGAAACATCATTACTTTGTTTATATATATTTAAAATAAATTAATTAATTAATTAATAAATAAAGTTTACTAAATCTGAGAAATGAATTAGCTATTTTTGCAGTAAGTGCCATAAATATTACTTAAATAATATTTAAATATAAAAGTTTAAAAATCGTAATATACATATTCTTTAATATGGAAAAATAATTTTACTTACTATAAGTAATTTCAAATATATTTCCTTATGTTATAAAGTAATATAGTCTATTAAAAATAACAATGAAAATATTTTAAAGTTGTAATTAAAATTGTATTTAAATAAAATGAATTCTAACCTAAACTTCTTTTACTTAGTACTATACGCGCTTAAAAGAATCCAATAAAACACCTATAGTAAAATAAAATTAATATGAAATACCAGAAGATGTAAGCTTATGAATGACCCATGTCCTTTGTACTTACATGAGAAACAATATATTACTAGGTTTATATATATAAAAAATAAAAGTTTACTAAATCAGTAAATTAAGTAACTATTTTTGCCGTCATTGTCATAAATTTTACTTAAAAAAAATGTACCCTAATATACATACTTATACTTGTTGTTAAAATAATCCTACATAATATAAGGGATTCTAATACATTTAACTGTTTATAAAAAAAAATATAGTATAATAAAAATTAAAAATGAGAATATTTCAAATCGTAGTTAAATAAAAACTAAAAAGTATCCTAATCTGAACACACCCGAAAACCTTTAAATTTATAAATAGGAAAAAAAATGCCGTAAGGATTTTTTGCCGTTAACAATAAATTAAAAAAAAATCCAGACGACATGCATTCAACGGATGTCAGTTCTCATTGAAAAACACATCCCTACCCCTTACCAAAATGTAGCTAATAACCGATACAATGATACAGACATAAGGAAAACCCAGACAACCCTTGTCCAATTGAAGTAGATTTATTTGTAACCATGGAAACGGGATTTTAGCTGTGTCTTTAAAACCCAGTAATTTTAAAAGTTACTCCAAAATTCGCTTGAGGATAAAATGAAACTAATGTCTTTAATTTAATTGCAAAATTAAATTCGTTGCTTTTAGCTTCCATTTTTGAAACATGGTTAGAACTGTGTAACGGAAAAAAACATATTTTAAATCAATTAATTTATAATATTAATGCTCTGTAAATTTACATTGAGCACTATTTTGTAAAAAAAAAAAAATATCTATATGAACACCGGATTATATATCTTACTGTTCTTTCTTGTTATTTAAATACATACATATATATATATATATATATATATATATATATATATATATATATATATATATATGTATTTATTAAAAAAATATGATTCCAAATCGCTACATAAGAGGTCTCATGTTTCAAAACTAGATTTGAAAACTTCAATATAATCCTTTAAATTAAATTGAGTTGAGTAAAATGCTCCGTTCCATCCTCAAGCGAAATTTTTGTTGAATAACGTATATCTGAAATTTACTTGTTTAAAACTGAAATTTTGTAAAATTATTGACAAGGCTAGAATATGTAAAGCTTGGGATGAAAGCCTTTTTGGCTCCATGAAAATTGCACATCATTAAATCCTAAATAATAATAATCTATTAAATAATAGACACGAGTTAACGGTTTTTGTAGGCATCATCAGATTTTTGGTTTGAATTATTAGATAAAAAAAAAATTTATATAACTTGTTTAACAAATAACCCAATCCTCAGATTCATAGTAGGAATAATTAACTACAAAACATGCATACTATATAAACACGTCATAATCCATAGCCTAAATTAGTAGTTTAAATACCTTACATATAAGATAACCCTTTATGAATCGTCAAAAAACAAACGTTACGAAAGTTTTTTTTTTTTTTTTTTTATATGCACAATTCCTTTCATAATAAAAATAAAATAAAACAAATAAATAAATCCATAGACAAGCAAACTAGACGATGGCCAAATCCTCCGTTTCATTTTTGACACCCCCACCTTTTCCGACTTGACACCTTGAAAGTATCTCTATACCGCTACTTAATATAATTACCCAATTTAGACAATTCACCATAGCTGTTACCATGGGGAATTTTGATTTCAATTTTAAAACAAGTAAATTTCAGATATACGTTATTCCAACAAAAATTTCGCTTGAGGATGGAACGAGCCCTTTTTTTTTTTTCAACTCAATTTAATTTAAAGGATTATATTGAAGTTTTCGGCTCTAGTTTTTGAAACATGAGACCTCTTTATGTAGCGATTTGGAATCATATTTTTAAATAAATAATTATATTTATGCTCTACTTTTTATCGAGCACTATCTTTTAAAAATAATAAAAAATACTAAGGACTTTGGATTATTTACCTAACCAGTTCCTTCCTATTTTCTATATATTTCATATATATATATATATATATATATATATATATATATATATATATATATATATATATATATATATATATATATTCCCATCAAGATGCTCAGTTCCTAGGAACCGACACCAGCACATGTGATTTGATTATATTTTTGAAGGTTTTCTTCCGAACCATTCACACTTTTTGAAGGGCCGAATACAGGGACCAGGTGCATACGTGCCACAATGTCCCCAAACGACCCTACGCAGATTTTGAATTCAAATTTGTCCTTCCCCTAGACCATTTGCCATCTAAAGCTATAGAACCCAGTCTGTACTGCCATTTATCCATAGGTGGAGGGAGAAGAAGAGGACTCATACCTTTCGCAAGAGTATTAGCACGCAAATGAATGTGTTACTTTTAACGGGTACGCTAAGGTTGAATATTTTTTTTAATTTTTCAAAAAAAAAATCATATTTCGTTTCGCATTATATTTTTTCGTCTTGGATGCTACCTGAATTTTACCAAAAACAAAATAATTTCCATGACTGAAGATGACTGAATGTACAGTTGAAAGTACTTGTGTATTAAAGAAAGACATTATACAGCTTATAATTTTTAAAAACAAGGATCATAAAATTCATCGAGTGGTTCGTAGGTTAATGCACCTTTAAAATTTAGTTTGCGAAGAGATTTCGCCATTTTATATCACTAATTTTACTAATCTACTTTTTGTATGAAAGAGTCATTGTAATATAAATTGAACTGCACCACATATTGATGTAGTGGAGTTTTTCGTATCCATATTTTTATTAATTCGAACATTATTTTTACTGGATACAGACATCCCATTTATTTTTTAAACAGTGTGTATTACGTCTATCTATTTCTCGGCTTAATAGAAAATAATTCATCGCCTACCAGGCTGCGTAAACTCTTTTGAACTCTGTCAAAGCTAGAAATGTCGAATCGTAAAAAGCAACAGAAATGTCCTAAATCTTCGTCCACCATTCTAAGCATGAGAAAAATATATCTCAGAAAAAAAAAAATTCCCGCGAAAACCAGTTTATTCGACACGAGGCAATTAGTTACCAGTCGTACAATATGGTGTCTTGCATAAAGTAAATCGAAAAAGGACTAGCGAACATTAATCATTCACCAAGCTACAAAATATATTTTGTTTTCTTTCAATTTAG